AAAGATTTTGTATCAAATTTTATTATTAATAAGAAGAATGAAGACATATTGCTACATTCAAAAGTAATTATTAAAACTAAATAGTACTATCGAATGATTCTGCAAGTACAAATTTAATTTCTTTTAAATATTTCATCAAAACAACAAAGTTTTACTGAATGAACGAAAAATGCACAAATTTCGTAAAATTTATTACAGTAAGCAGACAACAAAAATTAATTCAGATATTTAACTTTTCAAATATTCTTCAGAAGCATTATAAGCTAATAAGAAAGCATTGGAATTTTGCGGATTTCCACCTGATGTCACCTACCTTTATCTCGGTATCCGATCCGATCGGTTACTTTCACCGACAATTTCCTCTTCACAATTGAACCAAAACAGAGCAATGTTTTAGGAGATTTTCTTGATCGTGGCTCAATGCAAAGTGAAGTTTTGTTGTTCATTTTATTCATGAAATTACGCTGGCCAGAATATGTATACTTATTACGTGGAAGTCATGAATTGCATGATCTTACGAAACATGATTTCAAAAATCAGGTTTTCACTAAACAATTATTTGTTATGGGGTCATGTAACCTATATGCAACTTTAAGAGTCGTAATTATACGAGGCAAATATTAAAGTTTGAAAATTACTGTCCAAAAAATGGAAGACAAAAAAAGGGTTTGCAGTGCCTGATGGATTACGACGATCCGGCCATATTTGTTTGCATTAATCAATTATTCGATTATTTTCCATTAGCAGCAATTATTTCGGGTTAATCTTACTTCGATGCTTGTTGAAAAGCTATCGGAATAATTGAAGATGGAATTGATAATTCCGCACATTCATTCATTGCATAGTTAAAGATGTAACTTTAAAAAAAAATTTCCGCTTACGTTACGATAAAATTATTGATTGATTCTTACAATCAATCTCTGTTCATCGAGAACTGTACGAGAATTATTTTTGAATTTTATAAAGTAATCATTGTCTGTTTGTCAATTTCTTTTTTTCCCTCTTAATTGAAATTTTGTTGCTATCGTTGCAGTTATTTGGGACAGCTTCTGATTTCGAGTTGACTGAAACGTTGGCAAATGACGTCGATCCGGGCTATTGGAAATTCAACAACATCGATCAAAGTCTCCTAACTTTTTAGGATGTAACATCGCGGCGTGTTAGAAATATGCTGCGACATGTTGTTGTAAGCGTGAAATTGATGCATTCACGTAATTAGTATTAAATTATTCCTTTGCCTATTAAGGATACAGTTTATTGATTTTTTGCAGGGTCTTCGTGATTT